AGCCGTCCCCATTCATTTGGTAAAGCCATCCACTTTCAAGATTTCTAGTGAATCCATTTGTTATGATCCTCCCCGTTGCTCCATTAGAAAATGACACACAATTATATAATCTCCTTACACAATCTAACATGCAACTTAAGACATGACATCAAAAAGACTGGTAAAAGCATTGAGAACTGCTTTAATCAGAACTTCCCTACACTAGACAAACTTTTTTTCAGTTATTAATTCTCCTTCTCACAACATCTAACAAAGAATCATAAGCTTCCCTTCTAGACTTCCATATACCCATAGGTAACCCAATATATCTGGAAGATCTATGCATTCTAATGCCTTCAAGAATTCTGCAAATACTTTCATGATCTTGCACTGAAGTGTTTCTGCTGAAAAAAAATTAAGATTTATCCATATTTATCTTTTATTCTGGTAAAAAGCTCATATTTCACAAGAATTTGAATGTGCATATAAGCTTGACTGGTATCAATTTTACAAAACAACAAGGAGTCATCAACAAAGAACAAGTGAGTATGCATGGAAATATTTGGAGTTTTGATATCCTTTTCATTCTTTGCAAAGTGTAAGCATGAAAATATTTGGAGTTTTGATCTCCTTCCCTCTACCACTGGCTCTAGCTTTCTATTTTAAAAAACAATCCTCTAAGAACTGAGCTTCCTCAAATTGTTTCTTGATTGTTCTCATTCTTTGCAATTTCACTCATTTCCTCCATCTCATGATAAGTCTTGCAACTTGAGCTACATCATCATAGAGTTGCTAAAGTTCAACAAAGTCAACCTTTTTTTTTTTTCTTGGCTCTGAACGTTGGTATTGTTAATCCCCAACTTGAAAAGTGGAACCACGAAAGAGAAAAAAAAGTTCATTTACGTACAACGAGCCGAGCAGGGTTCGTACACCGGCCATCAGCCAGAAAAGGATCGAATCGCCGAAGGCAACGAGACTAAGAACAAGACAGCGACAGTCATCCGAGCCGGATTGGCATACCGACCAAAAAGCAATAAAATAAAGGCAACTTGCAGCCTAATGATGAGAAATTACATCTCTGCCAGCTATTCGGACGGTCGGTCAGTCCTGGACTCAATGGGTAGCACGAGACATTAAATGTGAATGTCCAATCGATTAAATGCACAGTATACTATCTGATGAACAATCTCCAGACTACAATTACTATAAATAGTCTTGTATTAGACCAGAGAGGAGTGATGACAAACTTACCAAAATACACAATATATAGACTCATACTCAGATACATATCAGTCCTACCTATAATACAATATAATGGGCTGACCTAGTTCGGGGTTACACGATAGCATTTTGGCATCACTTTTAGTTTTCTCTCTATTCAACCATGTCTACGTTAATAATTTGTACCTTCCCTAACTAAGTATATTGGAATCACACTCAAGACATCCTTTTATTTTGAATTAACCATTGATCGAAAACGTTCATCAACAGGTGTACCCTCCTGAGCTTCTCCCCAAGCATCCTGCACAATTGCACTGACTCCTTCAACTTTTAATCACCTCTTATCAAATTTGTAATCTTTTTTTTCTTCTAGATAACTCAAACAACATCAATCATCAGGACTATGGTCAGAGACACTCCTAAATACATTGAAAACTTTAGTATTTGAGAACATAGATAACCAACCAAAAGAGACAAAAACGCAATCCAACCTCTTTTACCGTTTATTTTATCTCATATATATATATATATATATATATATATAATAAATTAATAAATATTTTGCAGTTGGAAAAGCAACAAGTCAACATTATATTAGTGGTCATGAGTTGCTGTCTTGTAATATGAAGTAATATTTCTTGCATTGACATTGATATATGCAGCATGTGATAAAACATTTTATATATTTATTTATAAGTGTCATGTGGATAGTAGGATGTATTTTAAACCAAAAGTAAAGTCTTCACACCACAAATCTTGAATAGCACAGAGTTTTCATGGAAGGTAAGTAGGGAATATAATTTATCAGCATTGCCAATCAAAACAATTTATCATCTTTACCAACCTAAAACTCTAAAACACATCATCATCATTTTCCTTCAAATTTTTCCCCCAATTTTTCACTCACCTATTGCTGGCTCCACTTGTCTCATTGTATTTGAATCTTCTTAAATTTCACTATCTACCTCTTCCACACTCTCTCATAATCTCTCTAACTCCATTTTCCCCTTCAAAAAGTGATGTTTCATGTGCATTTGGTAGTAGTCTCTCTTGGAATAATAGTAATCATTTTCTTTCCCTGACCAGAAGAAAATTACCCTTTTTCTCACTCTTTTTCTTGATCTGTGTTGTTCTCTCAGGTTCAGGACAGCGCAAGACAATGGACTCAATAGCTAAGGCAGCCCGGTTCACGTACAACCCCGAAACAATTCAAGAATCCGAGCAATCCTTCTCGGGCATCCTCCAAGTCTATGTCCACAACATATGCATACACGACAACCAAGATGTGTACGCCAAGTTCTCCTTCACTTACAACCCAGACGAGACTTTCTCGACAAGGATCATCAACGGTGGAAGAGGCGAAAACCCGGGTTTCAGTATCAACGAGAGGCTGATCATGAAAATCCGCCAGGCAGACGCTGTCTTAAAATGCGAGATATGGAATCATCAGCTTCTCGGTTTTGCTCTGATCCCCATTTCCTCTGTTTCAAGTAAAGGGAAAGTGACCCAAACTTTCGACCTCTCATCGACCGACCTGTTCCATTCGCCAGCTGGAACTATAAAATTATCGCTCTCCCTCGATGCGGAGAGCCTTACCACTAATTTTCCCAAAGATATTTCTTTGTCCGAATTAGTAGTTGATTCTTGCCAGGTGGCTACCGAACTCTTGATAGATAAAAATGTCCCGGATATGAATGTCGTGAACGAGAACAAGCAAACGGGGTCGGAGTACTTTGAGAAAAACAGACAGGCCTTCATGCGGCCATGGCCCGATGGGTCATTTCTCCACCTCGGCTCACTGCCAGCTCAGGACCACGAAATGGCAGATAGTTCCTCACACGAGTGGCAAGCCGGGTCAGTATCTTTTGATGGGAGCATGCGAAATTCGAGCTCTCCGCCGAGTTCAACCATGACGAGCTTGAGAAACGACTGGGCCTCGGCTGACTCCATTGAGAAAAAAGGTGGGTTCTTTGCAGAGGAAAGGGACAGAAAAGAAATGGGGAATGAGGCAGAGGGGTCTGACATGCAGAAGCAGATAGTGGATATGTACATGAAGAGCATGCAACAGTTTACAGAGTCCTTGGCTAAAATGAAGCTTCCAATGGATTTGGACAAGCCCATAATCATCGATGGACCGAGGAATTCGATTCTCGATGCGGATAAAAAAATCGAGATGGAGAAGGAGAAGAGGGAGATTCATGGCAGGGTGTTTTATGGTAGCAGGGCTTTTTTCTAGAGGAAGTTGATAATTGACAAGAAACTGAAAAGCTAAAAAGAAAAGGCGAAGTTAGTTTTTATAGACGAGGAAATGGCGGTGGGCCGAGGGCAATACAATATTCTGCCGAGAATGGACAATGGACTTTTTGGCCGTTCAGTCACAACCCATCATTTGCCTCCAGTCCTTATGGATTGGCCCTACAATAATAGGTAAAATGGTTGGATCTTGAAGTTGTTTGTTCTGCAGGATGTAACTGTTTGTAGGAATTATAACAAAAAAAAAAAAATAAATAAATAAATAAATGCAAGACTTTAGGTACTGTGTGTGTTTGTTAAAGTAAAATAAGACATTCCATTAATGGTGAATTGTTTTACTCATGAATCACAGTTGGATCCGGTCGACTATATATATAATTTTGATTGATTATAATTATATAATTTGATCCCAGCTTTGGAGTTTAATATTTGTTATTTTAGGTTATTGGTTTAAAAATTGTTTAAGTATATCAAGCCCAGGCCTATAAGGCCCATGATCAACTCTATAAACCCTAAGTTTGTAACATGGTATCAGAGCTAGGGATGAAAACGGAAACGGTAATTTCCGATTACCGGGAATCGTTTTCGAAATATTTTCAGATTTGGAGGCTAAACGGAAACGGAAACGGTAACCGGAAAAACAGAAATGGAAACGGTAAAAAAATTCAAAAATGAAAACGAAAACGGTTTAGCCCTTTTCCGATCGTTTTCGAATATTACCGTATTTAAACGGTATTTTACCGTCGGTAATACCGGCTCAACCCATACTAGGCTCACTTTTAATTATAAAGCCCAATTCAAATCCCAAATGGGCCAAATGCCCAAATCCCCTTTAGACCAACCCTTCTACAGTGCCCAAATCCTGAAATCCCCTTCATCCCTTTCGATCTTCACTCTCGAGTCTCGTCTGGGAGTCTGTCGTCTCTCCCATCTGCTCGTCGTCTGCTCGTTGCCACTCCCGTCACTTGCTCGTCGTCGTCGCGCCCCACTCCCATCATCGTCGCAACCGCATCTACAGTTCCCAAATCCCCTTCATCCAGTTCGGTCTTCATTCTCGAGTCTCGTCTGGGAGTCTGTCATCTCTTCCATCGGCCGACGGCCATCGCAATTCGCCACGCCTGCTCGTCGTCACTCCCGTCACCTGCTCGTCGCTGCTGCGCCCCACTCCCATCAACGTCGCAATCGCACCAGCCGCTACAGGCTCCAGCTACCGCCGCCTACCCCACTTTGGTGGACAAGTCACAATTTAATTTCTAGTTATTGGAATTTGTATGGATTTTGTTATAGCAAATGGTGTGGATTTTAATTTGGATTTTGCTACTATTATGCCATGAGAATATTTCAATTAATGTTTTAATGCTATATTTTATAATGTGGTGTGTTTATCGTTTTTTAAATACCGTTTTAATATATTTCGATCGTTATCGATGTATTTTCGATCGAATAGTTTCGTTTTCAATATTACTGGAATACCGATGTCGTTTTCGTTTCCGACATTACCGTATCATTTTCGTTTTCGAGAAAAAAATATGAAAGTAGAAATGGTTGAGCCCTATGTCAATCGTTTCCGATCGTTTTCATCCCTAATCAGAGCCGGCCTACCTGGGTTCTGACGATGACGTACCCATTACCCAACCCAGTTGGGCTTGGGCGCCCGGCCCCATATATGGGTTTGGATTTTTTATGAAAGACTCACAAGTGAGGGAGCATGTTAGAATATAACTTGTGGGTTGTCCTACATCCTTTATACAGGGAAAATATGCCTACCTTATAAGTCTATTGAGCTACTCATCCCATCAACAAATTGGTTTTGGGATGGAACCTCACTTGAGTTGTCATCTGGGCTTTACATGTTATGATACGCTTCACGTGCACTTTAAATCTCACCTCTCACACCAATCATCTCGCTGTCTCTTTATTCACTCTCCGGCCAAACATCGCTCGCGTTGGAAAGTGTCGATGTCGGGCATCTCACTTGCCGGCGCATGGGGGCGTGTGACTCGCCGGAACTTTTTTCGGCGAACTTCCATGGGATCGGAATTTCGAGTGGTTGCTGCGAGTGCCTTCAGTTTCATGTTTTGAAGTGTTTTTGGTGTCCGTTTTGGCGTTTTTCAGATCAGCCACTTGTCAAGATTAGGGTTCATTTATTCCGATCGATTCCGACACTATTCAGTTCCTGGTTTGATCCTTCACTTGTCCGTCTTGTGATCTCACGCTGCCCGTCGCAACCTCGTCTCTCATATACATCGTTGTTTACATATCGCCCGCCCATTGTAGAGGTACTTTGTCATCTGTTGTAAAATCATGTCGTAACTCAATGTCATTGTTATCAATATCACTCTCGATGGCCAAAACTATCGAAAGTGGGCTTTTTCTGTGGAAGCAGTATTGAGAGGTTATGGTCTAGCCTTCAAATTGACCGATGATGGTCCTGAACGAAAAGTTGACAATAGCAATCCTGCTGAGATCAGAATATGGCAAATTAATGACGGGAAAGTGATGGCTGCCATCATCAATAGTGTAAAGCAGTCCATGATTACGAGTCTTTCCACTTTTCGAATAGCTAAGGCGATGTGGTCCTATTTGCAACGACACTAAGTTCCGGATAGTGGTGTACTCTTGCACAAACTTATGCAACAAAGTGTCATTGAACAGAATGATATGTCCATTGATGATTACTACTCAGCTTTTGATCGTTTGATATGAACATTGTCTGGGTTCTATTAGGAACGTTGGCAATGTGCACATTTAAATCTATTAAATATAAGTCTTAACGCAGCGGAATCTATAGTTAGGTTTAGGACTTACGGTTTTTAAATTTTTGCAGACTCTGAGACATTTCTGATTACCGCTGTAGGAAATTGTCCGATCTGTAGAGTCCGTTCGGCAGCCAGACTTGGCCTCATCAATGCGTCCCGGTTGCTTCTCGGGCTCATCGAATGGTTTTGGACCTTCGGTAGGTAAATCGGACTCCTCAGACCGCTCGAAAACCATCTTGAACTCAACCCGGGGCTTCTGGAACATGGTGGACCGGTTTGGTGCGAGGTGGACTGGACTGGAGTGTATCTGGACCGTCTGGTAGCCGCTGAACTCGAGCTGGGCTAGCTGGAGCACTTCTGTACTCGAACAGGTAGCTTTTGGCCGTGGACACATCGCTGGGCCGCACCAAGAAGTTGTTGGGCCGAGGAAGCACGTATATGGGCCTGGAAAACTCGCTGGTGGGCCGCACATGCAGAGGAGAGACGTGCGGGCCAATGCGGGCTGAGTTCGGGCTTCGCGGGCCAGGAGCTGAGAGATGGATCGGGCTTACACGCGGGCTGTGCGGGCTACAACTGTGAGGGTAGTTGATACGGAAGTGGTCATCAACCCAGGCGAGTCGGAGGATGAGGGTGGCGACGTCCTCAACATATGGTTGGAGAACATGCTAGAGGAGCCTACAAGTCCGATATACTGGCCATCATGTGCACGAGATTGGCCAAAAGGATGTGGTCCGAAGTTAAAGGTGAAGGCTCAGAAACGCAAGGCCAAGCAAGCCCGAAGGAAACACAAGGCAAAAGAAGGGAAGTGTTGGTGCAAGCCTTGTACAAGGAAGAGACGAGCCCGAAAGATGGAGGCTAAAAGGCGAGGTAAGAAAAGAATAGAAGATGGTTGGATTTGGCAAGCTGGTGATTGTGGTGGGAAGGATGGAAGGTACATTGAAGGATGGGACCCGTGGGACGAACCAAGGTCATCGGGCGAGCACTTGGAGTCGGTTGGCGACGCGGGTGCGAGCACGAACAAGGAACGCGCATCGTGCCTTGATGCGTGTATGGGGTCGAACGAGCAAGACGGTGTACACGGGTGCGGAGGAGACGATCAGGCTATGGAGGTTGACTGGGACGCATTGGCGTTTGGCGGCAAAGTGACGGGGAACACGGAGTGCGCGAAGGGAGCACACGCGGATGAAGGCCTAGGCCTAGGGGGCCTAGGAATGGCGGCAGCGCACGC